TGGATTAAGTAAAGATTGCAATTACTGGTTTTACTAATATAATTGCTGAAGTTTATATGAATATGTTTGAGATGGTAGAGAAAGAAGATCAATTTAGTTTTACATCAATAAACCTGAAAAAAGCAAAAGGGTTTATGAAAATGTACCCAAAAGGTAAAGAGAGCGGCGCAGTTATGCAACTACTATATCTGGTCCAAGAGCAGGTCGGATGGATACCTGAACTTGCCATGCGTTACGTTGCTGACTTATTGAATGTTCCACACATGCGTGTATATGAAGTAGCAAATTTCTATACTATGTATAACATGAATCCAGTGGGTAAGTACTTAATACAAGTCTGCAGAACTACCCCTTGTTGGCTGTGTAATAGTGAAGAAATTCTAGATGCCTTCAAAAAGAGGCTAGGTATTGATATTGGTGAAACAACTAAGGATAATCTATTTACTCTCACAGAAGTTGAATGCCTTGGTACATGTGTCAATGCTCCTGTAGTACAAATCAACAACGATTTCTATGAAAATCTTACTCCTGAAAAAGTGGAAGACATCATAACAAAGCTTTCCAATGAGTAGTACCCATAAGATAGCTAATGGATCTCTTTCGCAACCTATTTACGATGAAAAATGTTTTGCATTTTCAGTACATAAGCAATCTGGTTCCGCAAGAGTAGGAACAATTAAAACTCCACATGGTGATATAGAAACACCAGCTTTTATATAAATAATACTTTCTAATACTTATCACTTAATGCTTCAACCAGGTGAGGATACTGTTGCCAAACTCGGTGGCCTACATAAAATGATGGGCTGGAATAAACCAATGTTAACTGATTCAGGTGGATATCAGATATTTAGTCTAGGCCATGGATCAGTTTCGGATGAAATAAAAGGAATAAGAAGCAAGCAAAAAACATTAATAAAAATCAATGAAGATGGGGCAATCTTCCGCTCATATATTAATGGCAAAATTTACTGCTTAACGCCTGAAAAATCTATACAAATTCAGCAAAAATTAGGAGCAGATTTAATTGTGGTGTTAGATGAATGCACTCCTTTTCATGTGAGTAAAGAATATACTGAGAAGTCAATGCTCATGAGCCATAAATGGGCTGAACGCTGTTTAACCGAATTTGAAAAAAATAACTGTGATAGACAAGCCCTATATGGCATTAGTCAAGGAGGAATATATCAGGATCTGCGTAGAGAAAGTTGTAGTTTCATCAATAACCTACCATTTTTCGGTCAAGCGATAGGTGGGTCACTCGGTCGGGGTAAACAGCAGATGTACGACGTGGTTTCTTTTACTACAGAGCGCTTGAAAAAAGATAGACCCACTCATTTGCTTGGAATTGGTGGAGTTATAGACATCTTTCATGGGGTGAGCTTGGGGATTGATACGTTCGATTGTGTTCATCCAACTCGTTTAGCAAGGCATGGCGGAGCGTTAATAAAAATAAAGAATAGAAACTCTCTCTCTTCGCAATGCAAAGAGCATATTAACCTACGAAATCAACAGTTTGAACTAGATGAAAATCCAATTGAAAGTGATTGTTCATGTTTTACTTGCAAAAGACACTCAAAAGCTTATATACATCACTTATTAAAAGCAAGAGAACTATTAGCTTATACATTGGTTACCATTCATAATGTCTTCTTTATTAACAAGTTAATGGAAGCGATAAGGCAAGCTATATTAGAAGATAGGCTAGATCAAGAAAGAAATAATTGGATATAATATCTAAATAACTAATAAAGTTAGTTGTTCTTTACTATTTTTTTACTAAAGTATGTATACTTGTGTCTAAGTCAGATATGGAGGATTTTATTGCAATGACTAAAAAAAAGAAAGTAACAAAAGCACCTATAGCTCTAATAAACCAAAATGTTACAGGAACACTAGATAAAGAAAATCATATAAAAAAGGGGGGGGTTAAAAACATGTGGAAAGGTTTTATCAAAGGTTCAAAACATACGAATAAAGTAACTAAAGAACCCATGACTCTGACAAATCAAAATATTATAGGAGTAACAGGTACGAGGAATAATGGGGCAGCACAAACAAATCAAGCAACGGAAACATCTGCAACTCCTATAGAAATGGATACGGAGAATGATGATACAGTAGAAAAAAAAGTGGGAATTATGAAAAAACTTAAAGTTCTAATTTTTGATAAAAAATATATTTCTAATTTGACAGGAGAATTAAAAGAAATAAATGGTAAACTATTAAAGAATAACTGCGGTAAGATAGACGAAGCAAGAAGAGAAAAGTTAGTAGAATATAATATTAGACTTGAAAACAATACTTTATTGGAAGTTATACATAAGAACAAGAAGTATAACTATAACACTACACCCTTGCTTTTAGCTGTAAAATCAAACCTTAATGAAGTAGCAAAAGCAATCTTAAGAATAACAAGTAAAAACCTCGATATACAAGATAATGAGGGTATGAATGTTCTCCACTATGCTGTTAAAAACAATGATAAATTCATAGTAGATACACTTTTACAAAAAAAACTACAGGTTGATGTGGGGGATAAAAAAGGAAAAACTGCTTTGCATCACGCCGCTGAGAATAATTGTGATTCAATAGTAGAGACACTTCTGCAGCATGGAGCAAATATTAATGCACTAGATAAAAATAGAAAAACTCCTTTATTTTATGCTTTAACAAAAAATCATTCTACGCTAGCAAGTTTTATGATAATAAAAGAAGCACTACTTGAGATTGAAGATAAAGATAATGAAGAAATTATTACGTATAAAGAGAAAAAAGCAGAAATTAATCAGGATTATGATGGTGAGTATGAAATGCTCGTAGATACCTCTCTAGATACTAGAGATGTTATTAATACGAGTGAAGATGAAGACCCTTTTGATGAGCAATCTACAACTAGTTGTGATAGAAATTTTGATGATTCACGCAAATCATTTATAGATATCCCGCTACCAAAAAGTACCTCAGAGGAAAATCCCCCTGATGAGCAATCTACAACTTCAAATATTACCCATAATCAAACGAGAAAGCATTCTTGGACGCCTTTGAGAAAAATGCCATCACAGCCTAACGAAATCAATGAAGCTAAGGGAGCATACAAAATAGTAATACTTGTAGCTTCTGCTGCTGCCATTATTACCGCATCAATGCTTGCATATTTTACCACATTACCTGCACTAGCAATAATAGGAATATCTTATGTATCTGCGATGGTATTTGGTAGTATTGCTACACTCAAACCTATGAGTAAAGTGGACGACACTGACTGCAGTAAAGTGTGTGATGAAAGTAAAAATTTATTTGTTTAGATAACATTTCGGTCTATACTTTATTTTGTCTTATACAGTCTATGCATAGAATCATATGTTTTATCTTATTGATTTGTCTGTCCATACAGTTACACGCAAATCCTGTTCAAAAAAGCGAGACTGAACTGTACGAAGAAGCAATTAAGCTTTTTAATAAAGAAAAATATAAACAAGCTATTAGAGTTCTGCAAAAGGTTGAAGACTTATTCCCCCTTTCTTACTGGGCAATGCAAGCAAAATTGTTATCTGGCATATCTAGCTACAACATTGGTGATTACAGTAGTGCTGCAAACAGCATGGATGAATATATATATATTTATTCTAACAGTCCTGACCTAGCATATACATATTACTTGAGAATATTATCCTACTATATGCAAATTGATAAGGTACAGCTTAGTCAGCAAACTGCTTACAAAACTCTGGAACTAGCTGTAGAATATACTAATCTCTTTCCGCGAAGTGAATATGTAGATGATGTAAAAGAAAAAATAAAACTAGTTACAAAACATATAACAGAAAAAGAGTATGCCATAGGAAGATTCTATCTTAGACGTGGAGAATATCTGGCAGCAATAAAGCGTTTTCGCAATGTAATAAATAGTAAAAATTCTAGTTATTTATCTCAATCTCTTAACTATTTAGTAACGACTCACTCAGCTCTTGGCCTTAAATCAGAAGCTGAACAGTATGCAAATATGTTGACTGACGTCAAATCTCAGTTGGACTACCCGTCGGACCCATAAGAACTATTAATTCACCTTTTTTTAAGAATTTACACAAATTAGTAGAGCCTCCTGTTTCAAGAATAATAGTAGAAATTATGCCTTTTTCTTTATCTACTTCAGAACCAGTGACGGCTATGCCCTCCATGGCAAGTTGTGTATTATTATTTCTTTTACTATTAGTTTCAAAATTCTGCAGTCTAAAAAATTGTCCAGGTTGAAAATTTTTCGCAGCAAGTGGTGCTTTAATCACTATCTCTATCACTGTGTCAGTTAAATATTGCACTTGTATGACTTGTGCAGTAAGTTGCTCTTTAATCTCAGCAAAAAATTGCTCACTACCTTTTGTCTTTTTATCACTTATTTT